CATTTTTGAATAAAAGTCGACAAACAACAGTTTTAAAAATTTCTTCAAATTTCAAGAGAAGTGTTTGACGAAATGTTTTATTATTTTGAGCCTGTGTAAAACATCATAACTCGCACTTTCTGTGAAGTCTCAATAACTTGCGTATTTAAAAGGCAATAAAATTATTATTATTTTTTTTTTAAAGTACTTTGATATCTTTGGAAAAGCTGAAAAAAAATGGCGATCACTTTTAAAAATGATTTTCCTCTTTTAAGAAATTTTTAATATTAATATTATTGTTTGAATTTTTTTGTTAACCTTAAAGTATAATGATGTAGATCTGCATCATGCGTCGAAAAATCGCATTTCACTTTATGTAGCAACCTTTTTTGCATAGTGTTTTTTTAATTTTAATTTTATCAGCTATTTTATTGTTTCCTAACGCAACTAGACTCTTTGACAGTTTATTCTTTACCTGTGACAATTTTCACTGTTGAAGTTCTATCTGAGTACATCTTTATTTCGGCGGATGTTAAGAATTACGATTTTATATAAAAAAATAATAAAAACATGCAGAAAAAAATTGCTTCTAGAGAGAAACAAGTAAGGGTTACGAATAATATTTATATTTTGCATATAAAATAAATTTATCCAGAAAAAATTGACATAACATAAAATTGATAAAACAAATATATTGATGCATTTTTTTAGAAATACATCAATATGTTTAAGTGAAATTTAAGAAAAAATTCTATCTTTTTTTTCCATTAACTTGCCCATTTCCCGTTGATTTCGAAGTTTATTTATTGAAAATAAAAATTTATGCATTTAAGGGTTTAAAAATGCAATATTGTGTTCTAAAACATTCTAACAAATTCTAAATTTTGTCCAGATGTTTTTTTTATAATATTTTCAGCATTTGCCAATCAAATTTGTAAGAAAAATTGAGAATATTGAATGGCAAAAAGCCATTTTTTTTTTAAATTTACAACTCATTAACAGTATATATAATAGAAATATAATGAAAGCTAAAATGTGAAAACATCAATTTTCAGTGATATGACAATTTAAAGAATGCAGTTTTCACTGAACATTTGCAAAAGATATAATTTTTTTTCTTTCATATTTTTATTGCCAATAATTTAAGCCAACTTATGAAACAAATGAATTTAATAGCGTGAAAATACTGGGAAATATTGATGATACTATGAGCCTGTTTTCTGTTACTCACTGTTAGTAGGTAGTTGATGAACAGATTTTCACTAAGTGTCACTTTTAATCGAAAGCCACGGGATGGTTAAATTGAGTTACATGAATTTCCCAATGTTTGTTGAAATATACTGTAATCTTTACCGTTAAGTATTCTGTGTAAATTGTTAATTGTTGCAGAAATCAACAAAGTGGTTGCTTTGTAAAAATGAGAAATATTGATTACTGTATAATTACTTTCATAACTACTACCTTTTTAATATTTTGCATTAATGTGTAAACCAATAAACACATACGTATCAGATGTTTAACTAGTTATAACAATATATATTTATTCTCTTAAAAATGGCAATAGAAAATTGTACAATAAACAAAACACATTTATTTTACAGTTAAATATAGTGAACTTTTAAAATTTTGGTCTTACAAATACAAATGTATAAGGATTTGAAAAATGCGAATTTTACAAATCCCTTATCCATCGCACTGCACACAAGCTGTATCAATTGAATTAAATGTATTGATTTTAATTCAGTCTTCACGAATAAAGAACTAATCTGTCTCACTCCTGTGTGTGTTGTGTGGGAGTAAAATTAACTTAACAAATATTGTAAATTTAATTAGCAAAAATTTGGGATCCAGGCAGTACACAGAGATAAAGTGAAAAACCCCGAATTTGTGAATGAGAAATCGAAGTCACCTGTTACTAATCATATTTACAGTAATATATATCGCTATATTGATCTCATAGCGATAAAAAAAATTTGGTAACAGATGAAATGGCTCAAGAAATAGAAACAAGCTGATAAAACCAGCTGCATACCAGACTTATTAAAAAATAAATCCAGCAAATGTGACGTGTGGAATTTACCCAATGTTATAATCATATTTCAAAGGTAAGATTTGGCAATAATTCCAGTAGTAAGGACTAATGCTTCGTATTTATACAGAAACACATCAATCATTTTCAATAATGCAATTTCGTTTCGTTGTCAACGGAAAACATTAAGAAATCCCATTTGATAAATAAATATTTTGTATTTAAAATCTGTGAACTTCCAATTTTAATGAAAATAATCTCATAATAAAATAAATAGGGATATTGTCTCTTGCCATTTTTGAATTCGGGAACATAATGTTTTATCTTCTAGAAGCTTTATTTTCCTCTTCAAATCCTATATACTAGTGCAGTGATCCTCAATTTTTTTTTTATCGCCGCAGACTGGTCAACGTTTGAAAATTTTACCGCGGCCCGCTTAGAGGTGGGGGACATTGATTGTTTATATTTTAGATTGTTATGATTTAATAATTTTCCATTTAATTGTATTTAAACATGGCTTCAGAATGAAATACAGTTACACCAAAAATGATAAAGTGATCTGACGTAGAATATAAAGTGATTCTATAAAAAAGTCGCACAACTCGAGAGATATAGGAAATAAAATTGACCTATTTTAATGTTCCTTGTGTGGCTCGGTAGTATTGGATCCACGGACAAGCACCGGTCCACGACCTGGGGGTTGGAGATCACTGGATTAGTTTCCGATTTGAATGTAATAAATACATTCGAAAGAACAAAAAAATAAAGAAGGTTACTCTGCAATTACATTTTTCCTTCAATTTCTCAACAAAAAGAACCTTTTTATACCTATTTTAGTGATTAATTTGTAGGTTCTCAAATCCATAAAAATATTTTCTTACATCAGGGATCAGAAAAAACAAAACTAGCCGAAATTTTCTATAATATGTACATACTCAAATACTAGTGGACAAAACCTAAGGACGAAGAAGAAATGCTTATGTAAATGTTACGGAGAGTTTGGACTCTGTTCGTTTCTGTTCTGAAAAAGTGTTGTGTTAAGGAAGATGGTTTGCAGGCTAAAAGAGTATACTCTTCAGCAATGCTAAGTAAACTGGAGGGATATAGACTACAAATCTGACAGAAATTTTTTTCTCCAAATAGCCAAATATGTCAATAAAACTTAGAAGAGTCTAGGATTATTATTTGAAGAGATAACATTGGAGGCTTCTAAAAGGATTCACATTTCCTACAAAAATACAATGCAGAAAGGCAACATTAATTGTGAAAAATTTGACAATGACTGAGTAATACCCTTACGAGAAAACAGATTTCAATTGTTACGTTCTGTATTTATGCGATTCTTTGAATCTGTGTTATAATGGATTTATATGTTTGTGTGTTTATTGTTTCAAGTTAAAGGATGACTGCTGTAATTATTAAAGAGTTTCAGAATAAATTATGGTGCATTCCGGAAGAACTTGCTTGTTATTTTCGTAGACATTTCTTCATTTCTACAGCCACGTAATATTTGGAGGTAGAAATGAGATATCTGAATAAATGCTATGTGTGTGTGTGGTTATTCGCTTTGAAGGAAATGCTACTGAGAAACAATGTTAAGCTTTTATCGACGTTTTCAAAGAGCTGATATCAGAGATGAAAACAGGACGAGATGAAATCAGAAAGGGAAGAAAGAAATAAAAGATACGCGAAGAAAAGAATACTGGAAGAAGTGAAGTCAAATATTAACAAGTAATATTAAAAAAAATTAAACCAGTCTTACAGTAATTGCATATGATGTGTAACATCTGACATGTTATCGTGGTAAATACGCAATAGTAACTTAAATCCTGGGAAAACTGAATCGGGAAGGATTAGAAATAATTTTCTATCGAATAATCATATCTTTAATGAAAGTTTTATTTAATTAACACAAGGAGTAATGCAATTTTTTTTATCAAAAATAATTATTCTTGTTCAATTTGGGGTAGAGCGGAGACAATAGGCTTATAACTAAAATATGACACCAATACTTGTGATTTTAAAGTATTTAAAAACCGTTGTGTGTGAAACACAGCGTCAATAACAATACCACTGTTAGCTGTGGAAATATTTCGATTTGTGTTCATTTCGAGCTTCAGTTCATCATTCAAAAAAGCTATGAGTTGCTCAGCTTCTGACAAACTGAAGTTAACGTTAAAATCACCACTCAAAATCATGAGAAGCGAGTTATAGTTTTTTTTTAAAAAAAAAGAGCAAAACCACCTTCGGTATACGGTAAAAGTACAAAATGCGGGAAATCTTTAATATTTTGAACCGTTTGACTCGGAGAAATGTATCCGACAACCGAAATCACTGTCCTCAGATTTCATACATAACGAGCCCTGAGACTTTGATAATTGAGCTTAAGAATCGCAAGTTTATCCTGGATGAAGTCTAATAAGACTTGCTGGTATGTGCGAAGTGGAGTTAGAGTCAAGAAAATATGAAACCGAGTTTTTGAATTCAAATTTTGTGAAATGCTAAATTTAACAATAGAAAAAAAGGCTGGCAGCTTGATGGCTGCTAGAGTTGGACCCCAATGCGAGAGTAGCGAAGAGTCACCACGAAGCGTGCTGATTGGTCAAATGAAAGAGAGTGCGCTTCCCCAACTTCCTGTTACACACTTCTGTCCCTTTTCTAGAAATCACTCCTACTAATATCCAGCAACCGAGAGGAAAGATGTTACACATCAAAAAGTCAATTCCTACTTAGATCAAAACAAAGAAAATTTTTATTTTAGTTACGTTTTATTAAATAATTACAATTAATATAAATATGTGTATACATATGACAGAATCACAATGTTAAGTGACAAAATAGAAAACGATTTTCCTTGAAATTTTCTATTTTGCTTTCTATATATGGTGTCGGGCTTTTTTATTTTTGCTTGTAACTATTTATTCAAAAATTAAATGTAATTATTCTAATAAAATAGTATAGTAAATAGAAATCACATTCTCAGAAAGTAGGTCATCCCAGGTGGCGTTCGAACCCACAACATTGGATTAAAAGTCCAACGTACTATCAGTTGCGCTACAGGGACACAATGAGGGATTTTCCTTTCTATATATGGTGTTGGACTATTATTTTTGTTTGTTACTATTTATTCATTAATTAAATTGAATTAATGAATTAATATTTGAAAAAAACTGTATTAACATCAAGTGTCATCCACTGCAAGTTTAAAAAATTGTATGTATATACAGTTGTGATGGATCTATACGGTTCCTTCTACTAACCCATTGGGAATTCCTTTTGGGCCTTCCCTTTTTTTAACCAACTTTATCCAATGACAGGAAGCTTGATTATACAAATTAAGTATATATATATATATATATATATATATATATATATATTGTATTCGCGAGATTGAGAGTTAGTGAAGTGAGAATAGATTGGATGTGAAGTAAAGAGATGAGAAGCGAAGTAAATTTACGGTGAACCGTACACGTAAACGGTGTACGAAGCGAGAAGTTGGAATATTAAGAAAGTGCTTAGTTTAACTGTTGGAACCGTGTTAAAGTAAAAGCAAAGATAAGAAGACGGCAAGAGTTCAGGTACTGTGATCTTATTTCAAGTAGAAGTTAGAGAATTAAATTATAAGCGCGGTTCTAAATTAAACAAGCTTTGTACAAGTTAAGGTTAGGGTAGATTTGCATGACCGAATGTATTATCCCCACGCCATCTTGTCTGGCCTTCGTGCTCTGACTGATCAAAATTATTTTACTTACAGTATTATTTGTGTCTGAGTTGAATGTAGTGATAAATAAATAATTGAAGTTAATCATGTTGTCTGATCATTTAGTTCCTCCCACACATCTAGCCGGGTAAGAAGAAGCCGGGTACAGGGAAGAAGGAATGTAAATTCTTTATACAGGGGTGGCCAAAAGTGTTCACACTTTTAAAAATTGTTGAGTTTTTCAAGTTTGTATGCTTATAGAAAATGTTACGTTGCACAAAATACAGTCTTTTTTATCATTTTAAAGATAATTTAATACTAAATTCAATACAAAAAACAAAATTCAAACATTTGCAAAGTAAAAAAAGTTATGATGCAATAATTATCGATATACGTTAGATACTAAAGATAGCAGTGAGTTATTAGTGCTTAGTGGGGCCTTTATTTTTATTACCGCTTCACATCGATGTTCATTGAGCTGAAAATAGTTTTAATGTCTTCCCTTGTTATTACATGACGCCAAGAAACAATTATATCCTTAATGAGTTCCTTTTTATTTCATGGGCTTCATTCGGGCAAGAGTTTTCAAACGGTGCCACAAGTTTTCGATAAAATTGAGGTCAGGACTGTTTCCTGGACAGGACAACAACTCAATCATCTTAGAACGATACCAATCTTCCGATTAGTTTACTATGTGGCAAGGGGAGCTGAATCTAACTTAAAAATAAATGAAGCATTATTGGTAAATAGATCCCTGATGAAAGGTAGAAGTTTGAGTTCTAGAATGGTGTCAATGTATTTTTCGACATTCCATGTATCATCAATGATATGAAGACGACCTATACCATCTGCTGATATGCATGACCAAATCATAAAACTGTGAGGCTACTTTACAGTTGCATGGATGCAATCAGGATGTAGCGTTTCTCCTATTCTATGTCTGACATATTTTCGGCCATCACTACCAAACAGAGGCGGATTAAGCTAGTTGGAGGCCCCTGGCGGTAAAAGGTTTGGGGCCCCCTGGGCTGAAGAGTCGAAAAAATTCGCTGACCTTAAATTCTCAAAATAAAATGTATAGCTAAAAAAAAATTAACGGCTCAAAAAAAACTTTTAACTTTATTTTAAAGAATTAAAAAAAAAATCTTACTTAAAAGCTTAACATTTTGCTATATAACTTTACGTCTTGATTTTTCTTGGGCAAATTCATCGATTATTTTTGCAGTATCTATTTGGTCAAAAACATCTTGTTCTATGTATAAAATGGCCATGCTGTTCAGTTTGTCTTCTCCCATACTACTTCTTAAATAATTTTTAACGCGCCTTAAAACCGAAAAAGATCTCTCACTTGATGTATTTGATATCGGTATAGTTAAAAATATTTTTAAAAGTATCTCGACATTAGGGAAAGTCGAGACCATTCCTTTTGCAAATCGATAAACTTCTATTGGAGTGTTCATAGTATCTTTGTTTTCTTTTAAAAATAGCAAAAACTGATCCAATTCAACGTCAAAATTAAGCGATTCAATATCGTCTTGTAAATATCCTTTAATTTTTGAACAGAGCTTTCTTAATTTCAGAAAACCTCTCGTCAAAAAATACAAAAAAGGGTTCTATAACAGTTTCATATATTCCAGCTCTTCGGGATAGTTCTGCATTTGTCCTATCGCATATGGCATAGAATGAGTTGAACAAGAAATGTTCCCTATTTTCAAATTCATGACCTTCTTTAGTTTCACCGAAAATAATTTTTCTCTTTCGCTGCCTGCAAGCTTATCCAACTTCCTTTTTAAATGAGAGCCCTGTAAAGCAGTTGCTTCTTGTTCTACTTTTCCAAATTCATTCCTGAGATTTTGTATATAATTTTCTAAAGATTTCAGTAGATTAGATCCTTTTAATAGCTCACACCCAACTGATTGTAATGCTTTGCTAGTAGCACTCACCCTCTGTAGTATGGTATCCCAAATCACGGTCATTAGGGAAGTTTCATACTTTCCCATGTGGTTTCAAAAGTACCCAATGATTAAGTTGGCTGTACGCTAGAGCCTCCGGCAACGGAGTTAGCCGCGGTCGACTCAGTATTCCACTCTTTTACCAAACACCCCAACGCAAACAAAAAAAAAATATATAGCCCCAGCAACTTTTCTTTATATTATTATTTCAGGTCGCAATCTAATGTACTTTCTTAATTTTAATTTTATTTTTAAATTTTTAACTTTTAAACTTTTTATACTTTTCCCCACCTTCCAATAAACATAGCAAGTGTAATTTTTAATGCTCCCTCAAATTCAAGATAGAGGATGAAGACCTCATCAGAGATCATGTGCCCCAATGACCATTCTACCATGTTTCAAAAGAGAAGTTGCCTCCAGTATTGTGATCTTCTTATCATCATTTGTATCATGGATTTCAGCCAGGGCCTCTTTTATGTGTGTATAACCATATAGCTCGTACGGCATCTGCTCTTGCTGACTATCGTGTATCTGAAACTTTTTTCACAGATATTGCATGTTTACTCCTTTCCAGATTTTTATTTAAAATTCGCGAGCGATGGGTTGACACAGAAAAAAAATAGAATTATTTCTGTACAAGCATAAATACAAAAAGAATTTGTGCTTTTCAAATTTAATCTTACAAAATAATGGTTCTCTTAGCAGTTTCAAGTATATTAGAAGAATTATGTGTTTATTTCACGTTAAATAAAAAAAAAGAAAAGTGTATTTTTAAATAAACTTAATATACTTTCTTTCTTTGAAAATTCTTTTAACAGTTTGAAGCAATTTTAATGAAATATTTAGAAATTATAGATTGGCTCATATATTACTAAACAAAATTATCGCAATACGTTAGGATTACAAACAAAAAATCAACATAATAAATATAATAACGTTTTATTTCAATTTCGAGTTATTGTTAGGATTCTTTTAAGTATGGTAAATAACTAATGAATGTATTCAAAATCTCATTAATGTTTTGTATTTTAAATGAACTATTATCGCTTTTTATAACTTACTCAAGAAATTATTTTTATAAGAGAGGCAAATAATATTTTTTCATTTGAATTACAATGCCAATCGAAAATGTTTTAAGATTCAATCTACGAAAACACATTTAAATATGTTAATAATCATAAAAATATTCTAAGAAACTGAATTATTTATATTTATGTATGTAAATCGAAAATAAATAAAATAGTAATGACACAAATGCGACAAAATATTTTTTTCACTTTATCTTACGCACTGATTAAAATACCTGCGCATTAAATCATAAAATTTTAAGAGAATTTGAAAATGAAAATATAGTTACCTTTTTTTGTTGTTTAAACACGGTTCTCTGATTTGTCTGTATAAGCGCAGGAAGCTAAAAGAAATTAGTTCGGAAGTCAAATTGACGCAAAATTCCCTCAGTTTACTTCGAAAAGGGGTCTTTTTCTCAGGGCCGTTCTGTCCCATTCTTTTCGTTCGTCCTTAAGCCTGTCATAAATCTTGATCGTGCTTTTGTCCAATGTGCCGAAATTCTTCTTTAACGCGCCCCATCCCCCTTCCCCCAGAGAACCAACGTTGAGAACTCATTGATACTCCTTAAAAAAATAATTAACTATAGACTTGGAGGGTGACAGAAGACTTCAGGTGCTTATGGTCCTATCTTTTCTCGGAACGGGAAGCAGTTATCCAGCTCTTGCTCACCATGAATGCACATTCAGTCTCTTGGTTGTTACAGAAATAAAAGAGAACCCGGGATAAATATAATATAATACTCTCTTTCACTGGACCATCTATGAAAAAAATTCCGACTAAGGACCAAGCCTTCCTGTAGCTTCTTAGTGCGACGTTTATTACAGTCAATCAATCAATAGACGAAGGGGTTATTGTCATTTACAGGAAAATAACATTCTGAATGGATTTTTTTCCATCCTAATAAGTGTTATCTGTATTTCACTTCAAACTATCTTTCTGTCGATTCGCTTTGAATGAGAAGTTTTTCCTACATTCAAAGATCACACCACTCCTTGTCTTCTCATTACGTTGAGTAATTTTACCAGCTTTTAAACTTTTCTTATTGCGTTTCCTGAGATTCAGAATTCACATGGAAAACTTATATCGTTTCATGCCAGTGATATACTATTTTATAAACGTAAAAAGGAACTCTTAATATGACCATTGATAACATTTTATGACTTTTTTGCTTACACACGTCCAGGGCCTCTAGGGAGCCCGTATCATTGATACGGTGATAGCTACGCCCTGATAAGAAGAAATGTTGTTCAGGAATGTTTCTCAGAATTTAAAAATCATTCTTATTATATGCTTCATCTGTGGTAGTGCGAACCGTTAAAGTCTTTATGATTTCAAGAATTAGTT